TCGGTGGCAGGGCCCCGGGGTGGCAGGGCCCCGGGGTGGCAGGGCCCCGGGGGTGGATAAGATCCGCCCGGAGTGTCATGATCATGTTTCTGTGTATTTATTTTTAGAGTTTTTTGTGTTCAGTTTCCTTCCTGTGTCTTGTCTCTGCGTCTTCCCCGTTGATTGTTTCCCAGGTGTGTCTCATTACCTTGATTACCCCTGTGTGTATTTAGTCCCACCTGTTGGCTGTGTTCTTCGTCGGGTCCTTGTCTAACGCTGTCTTATGTACGTCTGTTTCTGTCTCAGTTGGTCAGTCATATGAGTAGTCATCCTAGTTTTCCAGTTGTACTGTTTAGTCCTGGTTAATTTAGCTCCATGTTCAGTCTTCGTGTCAGTGCTACCGGTAACTAGCCGTGTGTTATGGTTCTCTCACGTGCTGCCTGTCCTGGACTGTTGTATGAGCAACACCATCATTAAATTCATCATATTCTTCATTTTACCTGGGTCTCAGCGTCCTCTCCTCATCACAACCACACCAATCTTGACACAGAGTTCCTTAAGGCTCTGGATGTTGTAGGGTGTTGGCTGATGCGACTCTGCAGTATCACATGGACATCGGGGGCAGTTCCCCTGGATTGGCAGACTGGGGTGGAGGTCCCCCTGTTCAAAAAGGGGGACCAGAGGGTGTGCTCCAATTACAGGGGGTCACACTCTTAAGCCTCCCTGGTAAGGTCTATTCAGGGGTCCTGGAGAGGAGGGTCCGTCGGATAGTCGAACCTCGGATTCAGGAAGAGCAGTGTGGTTTTCGTCCTGGTCGTGGAACACTGGACCAGCTCTACACCCTCAGCAGGGTCCTGGAGGGTGCATGGGAGTTCGCCCAACCAGTCTTTTGTGTTTTGTGGACTTGGAGAAGGCGTTCGACCGTGTCCCCAGGGGGGCCTTGTAGAAGGTTCTCCGCGAGTATGGGGTACCGGGCCCTTTGATACGGGCTGTCAGGTCCCTGTATGACCGGTGTCAGAGTCTGGTCCGGCAGTAAGTTGGGCTCATTTCCGGTGAGAGTTGGACTCCACCAAGGCTGCCCTTTGTCACCGAATCTG